TTACTTAGTCACTGATATTGCCGTCTAAGTAATTTCATAATATCTTAAGATAATTTCTTAATTTATTAAATAATTTCTTAATAAGTTTAACGTTAGATGATATCAGTATTATTTAACAAATATCAAAAGGTTGTGTTTTGTTACCATTATGTTATTTGGAACACGTTCAAAGATGCTTATATAACAATCCTATTATAGCTTGTGATTGGCAGCCAGAAAGTGAAAATAAATATGGGGCTAAGAATACGATTTGGTAAGCATAAAATATGTTTCCAACCATTAATTGGTTACCACACTATATTACTACGGTACGATTTTATAGCTTTATAGAGTACCTGCATAGAGTACTTACCTAGAGTACTTACCTAGAGTACATACCTAGAGTACTTACCTAGAGTACCTACCTAGAGTACTTACCTAGAGTACTTACCTAGAGTTCCTACCTAGAGTACCTACCTAGAGTACTTACCTAGAGTACCTACCTAGTGTACATACCTAGAGTACCTACCTAGAGTACCTACCCTAGAGTACCAACCTAGAGTACCTACCTATTAACCTTCCGACAGTTTTTAACCCTAACAGCCAACATGACCTTTATTGATATATTTTTATGTGTTTATCTTTAAATTGATTGTAATTTAATCACTAATTGCTTATTTGAACACGTTTGTGCGAGTACTATTTTTTGTATAAACAGACTGGATTAATTTTTAAAGTTTTACAAAATTATACTAGTTGGTTTAATTGTTTTAATGTTCAATAAACTGTTAGTGTTAATTGTCATTTACAGGTTAATTCAGTACTCTATAAAACAAAGCCAAACAAGAAGAAAAGGAGTACTAAACAGCTTAAGGTTATTATAAAAACTATATCTTACTTTTTTATCGTTGATGGTAACTAACTGTGTGAAAACTGATAAGTACCTATTTGACTTAAAAAGATTTAATGGTCTATTGTTCATTTTGAACATGACCACTGGACAAATAACTATACAATTTCAGGATCATTTCACCTACACGTGAGATTGTCAAGAAACAAGTAGCTCAAAAATCTGTTCTGAACACAAGGTAAACCTACAAAAAGAACTAATTAACCTAGTCTCCTTATATTTTAGCATGTTAGTTAAAAATGTTCATAAAATTCATGTTTATATACGGCAAATGCTGAAAACGAAAAAATGATTTACCAAATACTGGCGAGGTATCGGCGAAAAAGTGCCTCAATCACGTGATATGAATTAGTAAAAGCCGATATGACCATATAAAGATATGATAAGGAAGTTGGTTTAATTTTCCGTTAGAATTAGGGTTTAAGCATATGCTTCGGTTAGAGATTGGGTTAGGGTTGGCATCAGTGTCATGTAGATATCATGTAGGGGTTTCGCTGAATTTCCATTTGTTTGACAATTCAAATTCCGGTTTGCCTCAGCGTATGCTTGATGATAGTGATATATGTTGCGTATCACAAACATCAAAGATATTTTCCGCCTTCGCGCGCGAAAAGTGGCATGCAATGTATGCCAAGCGTATGCTGTCGTTCATCTCACGGTAAGGGTCTGCGTTCAGGTTAAGGGTGTAAAAATGAATCGTGTTCTGAATTGACCCGTGAAGTGTTTCAAGTAGTTATGCAAGGTGCGTGCTAAATCACTCTACAGTCGATCTTCGAGATTGCAAGTTAACAGAATCAGCACGACCGTTTTTAAGACACCAGCACTGATGAGGACTACATCAGATTGTTCTATTTAGGCTTGATGTTGCACCAAGTCTTTTATTTTGTGCTCGATAGACTCGGCCTTGGTCAACTGCCTTATAGAGCGAAAAACTATCTATCCATTCTTATAACTCATCTTATACAGTTAAACCTCATAAGCTCATGTACATGCTGTTATCAATCTACCTTTTTAATTGTTCGTATTGCGTCCAAAAATACACCTACTCAGATCAATTTCATACCCAAAGGGCCTTTTCACAAGAATTTTCTTAAAATTTGGGCGAGCGATTTAGTAGGAGCGATTGATTCGTGATAAAAGGGACAGTTACAATATTCCGTATTATTTACGACCTGTTTCTGACCATACATTTTCTTGTACCATACCTAGTTTTTTTTCGAGTATGACTATGAGTGTTGTGCCTTATAACCTGCCTACATAGCTCGAAGGCTTCTTCCAACCTGTACACCCGCTAGCTAAAAGCTTTTTTCGAGGACATTAAAATCATTTATGTTATATTATAGTTTCTTGTTATCATCTATCATCTAGGCTCTAGCTCCGTAACATAAATTGTATGGATTTTTACTTTCTAATGACGACAAAGGTTTAAGTATTGTCTAATCGATACTTGTTACTGCATCAAAAAACATCAATCACAACCAAAGTTATGGATAGTCATAGCGTAATTGTAACTTTGTAATGTGAGCTAGTTATGACGTAGTAATGAGGCAGTTATAAAGCATGGCAACGCGCGTTGCTAACCTGTGTTGTACTGTGGTTGTTCGCGCACGTGTAATCTCTTGATGTTGCTGCGCAACGACGTAGTTGACCTTTGATAAAAAAGCGCTGCTTTAATCTAACGTTTATTTTACCTCACTTCCGACGTTAATTATACAAAATCTAAAGCCTTAATCATAATTCTAAGAATGCTATCTCCTATTTCTGTCCTTTTTCTACAACCCTGCTAAAAATCGCGAGGTTTCAACTCCATTTGCGAGCTAAAATTGGTCACGCCAGAGGGTCATTTTTTGATAAATCATCATTGTTTTTTAAGTTTAAAATATTATATAGATATACCAAAGTTCTAAATACCAGATAAACACAACGCTATCTAGTCTTTCTTTTAAAGAAGAGAATTATAAAACTTGCACTTGTGCCAATTTGCTCTGTCAAAAGTAATATTCTTAAGATGATTAATAAATTTCGACAACTTAAGTCGCGTTTTCTGGACGAGAAAAGAAGCTAGGGCCTCCAGCGTCAAATTTATGTCCGCTCAAATAAAATCCGATAAGGTAGCTATCGCTAGTTTTACGCCCACGCTATGACTTTTCATAACTTTGGTTAATGTGATCGATATTTTTGATGTGATGAAATACTTTGATGTCATTGTCAAATAAAGTCAAATAACATCCACACTTTCTACAGTGCGGAGCTAAATGAAGAGAAATTAAAACATAACTGATTTTAAATATCCTCCAGTAAAGCTTTCGACTAGCGCATTTCCCATTCTAATCTTACCTGGGGACCCCAGGCTATAATGTTCATAAACAAATAAAGATTCGGCGGAATGACAGGCTGAGCGCCGCCCAGTAAATTCTAATATAATGTGAAAACTTTTTATAATACATTTCAGTCGAAGATAAGAACAGTCTGGTACATGGTAGGAATAGACAATCCAGAGCAAGAAGTAGGTAAGATGATTACTTTAAATAGTAAACTTGGTACAAAAGAGGAAATATCTTCTCTCGCTACCAAACTTCGCTCAGTTCCTGATGATAAAGACAAAATAGATGTGGTAAAGAAGCTGAAACAAACTGAGTTTTACAGTGTGTTTGTTGATTTGTATAAGAGTAATGAGGAGTTGCAATTTAGGAGGGATGCAACTTTCATTTTGAGAAGGGTCGGATACTTCGGTGATAAGGAAGATTTAAAGGAGCTAGTTCATAGAGGTATAGTGAGGCTCATCCTTACAGACTGTGTTTACTCAACAGATGCAGATCTCATAACAAACGTAGTGACAGTCTTAAGAGATGTATGTTCCAAACATAACAGGGTTCTTTTGTCAGACATTGCCGAGGAGGGTCTTTATGATAAAGTGATATACCTGCTGGAGACCTGGAAAAGTAACGATGTTATAGCTGGGAGAATACTTTCCATGATCAACACGATATGTTCTTATGAGATGTCACTAGGTGAAGATATTGTTTCATTAAACCAGCCTAGATTTGTTGATATACTGAGAAATAAACATCAACCTCTTAGAGAAATAATAAGTTCGGACACAAGCTGTAAAGTAACTGCTGCGATACTGTTATTCAAATACCTGGGCAGTATTGAAAAAAGTGAGCTATTACAACTGTTAATACCACCGACAAATGAAATGTTCACTGAGGGCGGTATTGTAAAGCTAGCTAGTATCATAAAAGCGATACCTGGTAGAGAAGAAGAATTTGGAAAACAAGTAATCAGAGAGGTTGTTTCAGCTAACTTTATCAGCAAGTTTAGTGAACAGTACGACAGTAATACTGAGGAGGTGTATCGTAGAAACCTGACATATGTGCTGAGAAGAGTAGCTTATCTAGGAGATAAAGCTGTAATAAGCTCACTGGTTAAAAGTGGTGTAATAAAACATTTGATAACAACATGTGAAAATTGCACTGACAGTGAGGTTATGTGCAATATATCAGCTACTCTATGTTACGTTTCTTACGATAACGGTGATATCTCACATGTTGACCACCTTGTTGGGGAGGGAGTTCTAACCCTTATATCTAAACTACTACAGAAGTGGAGTAAAGATGACACTGTGATGGTTAAGGTACTTGTAACTTTACTGAACATTACCTGTAATAGGGAGGATATCTGTGAGTTAATAGCTAACAGTACAGAGTACGGAGATAAACCCGAACTAGTGACAAATATTTTCCAAACAAGCAGTAATGTGAAGGTACTGGAGAGCACTATTGATTGTATTTACAGCATGTTACAAGGGAGCATGGCTTTACATGAGCACTTCTCCAACAAACAACTCATAGACACGTGTATCTCCCGGATCAGATCTGATGTGTTATCTTCTGAGTACAAAATTCATATATTACGGGGTATTGTCACCAGGCTCACATGCAACCACCCTGCTAAAGTTGCTGCATTGTTAGTTCCACACACACATTCTTTGAAGGAAATCGCCGAGTTAGACACTGACACTGAGCTATCTAGACATGCTGCAGAGTTGATAAATACGTACTTAAGTTGTGGTGAAAAGCGACATAAATGTGTTTTGGTCAACACACTGTTTATATTAAATATCTTGAAATTTTTTGCTCTATATATTGTAGACATTGTTTTAGACATTAAAGTAGGGATAAACTCTGTTAATGATGCTACTTTGAGCACACGGTATGAGGGTTATTGTTTACTTTTATTTAGTATTTTACCTTTGATTTATCTAAATTATCAATCTGTTTTACGGTATTACATTCAATGCTGGAACATGATAAGTGTCGATCCTGTGATATCTCTACAGGGATCAAACAGAGGACGAATAATGAAGTTCTTTTTCCCTTGGAGGTTTAACAGTGTGAAACACGCTATCTTGAACATTTTAACAGTATTACAGCTGCATCCCCTCATAAGAGCTTTTGAGCTGGTGTTTCATCGGAGTAAAACGCTGTATACAATCATAAGTAATAAATTTCATTTTGGAAGACTCTCCACTCAAGAGAAGATCCTAGAGAATGTGCCCTGCACTCTTATCAAGGGTATAATTTTGTATAAATTCATCGACAGCAACAAAAGTGATGTTGATTTTAGTTTGGGATCAGATGAATATGTTACCCTATTTTCAACTGTATATGGTATACTAACACTCTGCTATAAAGTAGCAAGTTTTGAAGAGTTGTGCAGGAGTGCAGACAATTCTCCTGGAGCCCTCAGGACATGTCAGAAACTAGTGTCGTTCATAGGAGTATTGCTCTCACTTAATTCACGACTTATCATGTGCCTTGTTCTATTCAGCGTGATGCGTGATAATGGAACTATGTGGATTTTTACCATCAGTGTATTTCTTCACATATTGTTATCTTCTGTTACTCACTTACTATCTCATCACGAGTGGCAGTCTCCTTATGACTTTTCGATGGTAAAAAGAAAATTTGTGATAAAGGATTTTATTCTGAGAGAAGGCAGTAACAGAAACAGTAAACTTGTAATAATTGGACGATGCGCACTAGTGTTCTGTCTATCATGGAGTGAATCCTTTATAGTGAGCCTCCGAAATCCTATAGATCTGGTGTCAGGACGTGTTCCAAGCACTTATCATTTAAGATCAAGACGACAGTTTTTCATGATTTATGTGTTTCACCTGTTAGAAGTAATAACCGTCACGGTTTTAGCAAACACTCTCAACTCTAAACGATGGATAATGGATTTGGGGTATGTATCGCTGGCACTATTTCTCATATCTGGTGCAATGTATATGCTGTACTTAACAGTTCTTAATCCAGACAAGACATCTAAATTATTGTCGGTTTCAATCAACCCCAGGTTGAAGCAGTTTGGATATAAATCCCAGGTGACCACAAGCACTCGATTTTGTCATGTAACTGAAAAAGCAACAAAGATAAACAGCACAAAAGTCTACTCGTCCAATCAGTATAATTACAGACTCCAAGTTCTAGATCCCTGTTATGACTGCATGTTGGGTAGAGAACACACAGATAAAGATGAACCTGTTAATCAGAGCAAATGCTGCTCACGATCAAGTTTTCTGAAGAAACTTAGAAACTGTTTTACTCGACCATTTAATAGCACTTACAGGAGACTCTCGCTTTCAATTAGTGATGCTGAGAATCTTGCTGAGAATCTTCAGTTGCGTCGTAAGGACGTGGATTTGCTCATTACTAAAGTGAGAAAGTACGACAATATTCATCGTCATCAGATATATTTATTTCCTGGTATTGAGAACATTGAAAAAGTGGACCCCAAGCTTATCTCGAGGTGTAGAGCGATTGGTTCAAATGTGTTCCGCAGTATTGAACATATCAGAGACGATGAGTTGAGTCCTAATCTCGTACCAGCGTGCAACAAACTGAAAGGTAGAATAGAAAACAAGTACACTGATGCGACTGAAGGTGACATTCTCAATGATGAGCTGGTTGAACAGATCAGTAACCTCTGCGAAGAATACTTTTCCTTAAAAGAGCAGCAATGGGAAAATAAAGTTCTTGCCTGGTGTGAAACAGCTCCCACTGAGATTCTTACTAAATATGACAGTGGAAAATGGGGTTCAGCTCAATGTATAAAGGATATTGAGAAGTGGATAACAGAAAAAGAAAGACTCGCAGTATACTTGAACCCTTGTAATAATAACGCAGCAAACCTTCCTGACACTACTATAGTGCTGTACGATGAGAAACACTCTAATTTCCACATCAACGGGGTTAAAACACCCTCAAAACACGGCTGGGTAACCAGAAAAGTTGCAGAACTGAGGAACTGTTACCATAGAAACAGGAGGAATTCTACATCAGGACAAACAGAGTATCTGCCTGTCGGACAAGATATTGTTACAATAGAAACAGGACAAGATATTTTTACCATAGAAACAGGACAAGATATTGTTAATTCAGCAGTTTAGCTTGTCAGTTTATAATAACATAAACCCGCCACGCAAAGGGTTTATATAACAGATCATCCCGCGCTAGCGGGATGATCTGATAAACACATACGAGTGCGCGCAGCGCACGAGTTTTGTGTTAATATGTAATCCCGAAGCGCCAGCTGAGGGATTACATTTATTTAGCCCTGAGCGTGAAGTGTTTATGGATTATAATTATCTCCGGCGATTTCGACAAGGGATTTATACTTTAGAAGAGATTGGAAAGCAGTTCATCAATCTGAATGTCAAACCGATCTGTCATAGTGGAGCAATAGCTTGAACGTTAGCAGGAACAAGAGCTGGAAGGAGAGCAAGCAAAACAATACTATTTTTAGGGCACGGACAAGGGTAGCTGGCTAGTCGCCAACTTCTCACGCCACGCGTTGGAGAAATTCCAAGAATTAGCTGCTTTGGCAACGTTCCCAGGAATTTGCGTGTAAAAGAAGTGGACGGTTACGATGTTTCATATCACGTGGTGCGCTTTCGTGTCACGTGGTATAGACTCGGCGTATGCTATTGGTGGCACGTGGTACGCACGTGACGCGCCCACGTGATCGCGCGTCTAACTGTTCTACTATTATCGAGTTCTAATCAGCAGTATCATTGATTATTGTAAGTCGGAGAATTGAATGATAAACATCAGTTACGACTAAAAGTAAAAAGCGGGCCGGGTTTATACGAATTTCCGGGGCGGGATGATATCACCTTGAGATGTTTATCTAACAGCGGGCCGGGCTGAGTGATAATATGATCCCGCGTCGAAATCCCGGAGATATTTATACAATGTTTGAAGTTTATTGTTAATGTGATATTACTATTCTGGTACAATGTGGTCCGCCTTCTCCATTCTAACTAGATATTTACAAATAAGTATTTAGAAACTTACATCACCTTAATAATCCCAGAATGTGTGTTTCCGAGCGGCTTAATCAAGTAAACGGTAAGAGTTACGGGGCTGGTTTTTTCGGTATAGTGCCGACAAAACTACGAAGAAGCCAAATGGTAAAGATTTTTTAAATCGGTCGGTGGTAAGTGGTTTAATTGATGGTTTTGTACCACAAATGTTACACAAAATGGCTTGAGCAGAACGGTAAGAGTTACGGGGCTCGCATATGTAGCTGCATAAATAGTGTAATTGGGTTACCCGGGTAAGATTCGGTGTCATATTATACTATAATCTTATTAGGTTATTAGGGGAGGGGCACTGTTTGGACTGCAAAGAGAGTTCATACTTTCATACGACAATGTTATGCGTGTTCACAAATATGATAGGCGGTTGTGGTGTTAAGGGTTAATTTCTATTGATTATTGTTTAAGATACTATTGTTTAAGATACCATTGGATACGTGAGGGCACTCCGAATAGAATTGCTCACCTAATGCAGGTTTTGACTCAACGGGTAAATACTCCTACCTATTCATTCTAACTAGATATTTACAATTAATAAGTATTTAGAAACTTACATAATCTCATATCCTCTGTCTTATATTCAATAACCACACCTTGAAGTTCGATTGTATAATCTATAAGTAATGATATTACTTTATCGGTAATAATTAGGTAATAATGATATAATTTTATTAGAAATGGTGTTACTTTATCTCAGTAATTAATGATAATGATATAATTTTATTAGAAATGATGTTACTTTATTGATAATGATATTACTTTATTAGCACTTATATTACTTTATCAGAAATAAAGCAACATCATTACTACATTATTGGTGTGCAGCAGTTTTAATTTATAATATGAACAGTGAATATCTCGGATGTACCCAGTACCCAAAACTAATCCCGCGTGCAAATGAACATTATTATGTTAATTACATTATTATGTTACATAACAATGTAACATTGATTACATTATTATGTTAATAACATTATTATGTTAATTACATTATTATGTTAATTACCCCTCTTGATAATGTATCTGGCTAGATGTTAAAACACGTAGCTGAGATTGGTAATGCTGGAAGCTGATTGGTTAATCAATGACTCAATCTGTTTACCGCGTCTATAATATCTCTCCCAAGAGTATTACCATGGTAACGCTACCATATAAGGTAATATTATGGTGGTATCCAGATCTCAGAGTTGAGTCTGCTTTTATTTGGATCTATCGGCAACTTATTTCCCTTTTTGTCGATATGATCTATCTATAATACTATGATCTATCGCCAATATAATTATAAACATACCAATTATTTTGGTTAATTTTACCTGGGTACATCGCTTGAAAAGAGTGTTACTATGGTAACGCTTGCACCTTCTGAAATTCTTCCATCTATCCATCGATAGAAATCAAACTTATCTCTATAAATTTACCTTACGTTTGTTATGTCGCTTTTCTCCACGATTCTAATGTATTTACCAAATATATGTATGTTTGTGATATGAGTGAACAGTGAATGTTACTGCTTTATTGTTTGTGTATACTGTATATATATTCAGTTGAATACTACTACTTTTCTAACTGTATCTGAGCATATTATGTTACAGACTCGTTATTTATACGTTTTACTTGTGTTTGATTACTGAGTTTGTCTGAATAATGCCCCCCCCCCCCTGAGAATTATCTTTTAAAACTTCAGTTTTAATCAGTGTTCAATTGTAAAGATCTTTCTAATTTCTAATTTCTAATATACATTATACTGCAGAATAGTCAATAGTTTGATTATTTTATTCTAACAGTGAAATCATTTAACAATATATGACATGTCTAGAAGATCAGATGATATCCGATACCAGACGGAAATCAGATGTTCAACTAAAACAGCGTTTCTGCACGTGCAACGAAATATCTGGTGAAGTGGTAAGTTGAAACGTGCAGTATGATTGTTGTGAGATTAATTCTTTAAATCTACTTTTTAATAACCATCTGATTGTGTCTTATATTATACGTATATTTCAATTCATTGTTGCAGGAAAAATTCCTCCGGGAGAATCAAAGTGGTTTTAGACAGAATCGCTCATGTATTGACCAGGTTTATTCACTCCGCTGTATTATACACCAATGCATTGAGTATAATATCCCTCTGTATATTAATTTTGTTGATTTCAAAGCAGCTTTTGATTCAATTGACAGGCAGTTCATTTGGAGAAGTATGCAGCACTACGGCTTACCTGACAAGTACATTAGAATTATGAAGGCGTTCTTCACTCACACAGTTAGTGCTGTTAGGGTCAATGGAGAGGTCACAGGTTGGTTTGATGTCAACTCGGGTACTGGGCAAGGTGATATACAGGGACCACCAGTCTTCAACTTTTGTTTGAATTTTTCGGCATACCTTATGGAACTGAACAAGGTCATTAGCAAAGGGGCTTTATTACAGCTGCCAGCCCCCGGGGTAGAAGAGAAACATCTTTTGGACACTGATTACGCTGATGACATGGCCATGTTAGATAACTCAAAAGAGGGGCTGCAGGAAACCACTGACCTTCTCTGCAAATACAGTGCCTATGCGGGTCTGAAGATTAATGCTGGCAAAACACAGAGCATGGTTGTCAGCAAAAGTGCATCGCAGAGGCCGTATTCTAAAGACGACACTATGGACATCAATGTGGAAGGTCTCCCAATACAGCAGGTCAGCAATTTCACTTACTTGGGTGCAATCATCAGTGCGAATGGAACAATTGACAAAGAACTGTCAGCTCGAATTCAAAAGGCCTCTGGGGCATTCTATCAGCTCAGCAGTATATGGTACAGTCGCAACATCAAAACTCCAACTAAAATCAGGATTTACAAAGCGGCTGTTCTCACTATACTGCTTTATGGAAGTGAGGTATGGAATACCACACAGACACAGATGAAAAGATTTGAGGTGTTCCAACATAGATGTCTGAGGAGAATCCTGAAAATAAAATGGTTTTATCATGTATCTAATGCTGATGTACTTAAGCGGGCTAACATCGCCCCTGTTGATACTTTCGTACGAGCAGCTAGACTCCGATGGTTTGGCCATGTGGTGAGGATGCCAGAAGAAAGAATACCCAACTATCTTCTGCACTGGATCCCAAAGCATGGTAAAAGGTCAAGAGGTAGACCTCGGAAAAACTGGTTGTCATGTGTCCGGGAGGATGCAGCAATCTTCACAGGTGTCGATAACATCACGATAGAAGATGCAGAACAACAGGCTACAGACAGGGTTCACTGGAGAGGTCTAATACACCGGAGAAAGGAGTTACTATGTGGTGCAGGCCACTCCAACGACTAGGAGGAGACCTTTTCAAGTACAAGTAAGTAAGTTGCAGTGTTAGCATTACTTCTGGGTAATGTATACACTACTTGTTGCAGTGTTAGCATTACTTCTGGGTAATGTATACACTACTTGTTGCTGTGTTAGCATTACTTCTGGGTAATGTATACACTACTTGTTACAGTGTTAGCATTACTTCTGGGTAATGTATACACTACTTGTTGCAGTGTTAGCATTACTTCTGGGTAATGTATACACTACTTGTTGCAGTGTTAGCATTACTTCTGGGTAATGTATACACTACTTGTTGCAGTGTTAGCATTACTTCTGGGTAATGTATACACTACTTGTTGCAGTGTTAGCACTACTTCTGGATAATGTATACACTACTTGTTGCAGTGTTAGCACTACTTCTGGGTAATGTATACACTACTTGTTGCAGTGTTAGCATTACTTCTGGGTAATGTATACACTACTTGTTGCAGTGTTAGCATTACTCCTGAGTAATGTATACACTACTTGTTGCAGTGTTAGCATTACTTCTGGATAATGTATACACTACTTGTTGCAGTGTTAGCATTACTTCTGGGTAATGTATACACTACTTGTTGCAGTGTTAACACTACTTCTGGGTAATGTATACACTACTTGTTGCAGTGTTAGCATTACTTCTGGGTAATGTATACACTACTTGTTGCAGTGTTAGCACTACTTCTGGGTAATGTATACACTACTTGTTGCAGTGTTAGCATTACTTATGGGTAATGTATACACTACTTGTTGCAGTGTTAGCATTACCTCTGGGTAATGTATACACTACTTGTTGCAGTGTTAGCATTACTTCTGGGTAATGTATACACTACTTGTTGCAGTGTTAGCATTACCTCTGGGTAATGTATACACTACTTGTTGCAGTGTTAGCATTAGTTCTGGGTAATGTATACACTACTTGTTGCAGTGTTAGCATTACTTCTGGGTAATGTATACACTACTTGTTGCAGTGTTAGCATTACTTCTGGATAATGTATACACTACTTGTTGCAGTGTTAGGGGGTCACGACGTGATACAAGTGTTAACGCAGTCCACTTTACAGACAAAATGGTTTATTAATTAATTATTTATCAATTTGTAATGCAATTGTTTGAGTAAAATAATATTTATCTGTATACCTATAAAATACGGTTTACAATACTTTATAATTATATTTAATTTTTCAGAGCAAAAATCATGATTTACGTAACTTCCCGCCCAGTCATAATGACAATATTAAAAGCTTAGTTTTTAAATGTCTTATATTAAATATTATGAAACTATATAATCATAGTAGATATATATTTATAAAGATAAAACATAACACTGTAACAGCACCAAACTCAGACAGCCACTATTTCAGTTTGGCAACTCTGTGGATAAGAAAAGTTTATCAGAAGAACTGTTAGGAAGGTGCCAGGATACAGAATCTCAGAACCAACTAACAATTAAAAAGTAGAACCTTGTCAGTATGACGGGGAACATGAACAATATTCAAATACGATTATCCTAACACTTCCAGGGCCAGAGTGCTTGATATTTCAGTGACTTATTATATTATAATTATATTATATCTTGAATACGATTAAATATTTTGAATGCGATTAAATATTTTGAATACGGTTAAATATTTTGAATTCGAATAAATATTTTGAATACGATTAAATATTTTGAATGCGATTAAATATTTTGAATACGATTAAATATTTTGAATACGAATAAATATTTTGAATGCGATTAAATATTTTGAATACGATTAAATATTTTGAATACGATTAAATATTTTGAATACGAATAAATATTTTGAATACGATTAAATATTTTGAATACGTTTTAATGTTTTGAATGCGATTGAATATTTTGAATACGATTACATTTTTTTAATCGGTTTATTTATGAAAATTACAATTTTTCTTATTTAAATTTATAGTTTAAATTTGTAATTTATGACCTGCTTCCAATATTTGTTTGAAATAAATTAAATATTCCATACTGTTTATTTGGATGTGCTTTCTGTGGATAATAATAATCTCCACTGCACTAATACCCACTGGATATATAGTGGAGATACGAGCGAATTAAACAAGTTGCTCAAATAAACACTTCAGTACACTACTGTCTACCAGTGGAGTTCCCACTACGAGTGAAAACTGAGAGGTGGCGCGCCTGATGATAAGGTATGATAATGTCAGCCTTGCGGCTGACATTAGCTTTCATTACGTTTGAATTATCTCCCATATACTCTGCATACACCGCGCCACCTTTCAGGCGCGCCACCTCTCAGTTTTCACTGGTAGGTCAAGGTGGGAACTCCACTGTAAAGATCTACTACACTTCCACACGTGTTAAAGCGATGTGAGGCTGATACTTACAAATGATTCGTTGAATAGTGCTATTCACTATTGCTGTATTGTATCGCTTACATTTCTACTTAATGAACAAAGAAAAGTAAAATAATTGTAATGTTTCGATAGATTCCAATGAAATGTAACTGAAATACAACAATATAAATATAAATACAGTCCAGGTAAAGCAGAATACATTGCGACTAAAAATAAGGTCTTAAAGATACAAACAAAAGGTGCAGGATTTAAAATGTTGCTTTAAAGATTTGAGATATTAACCAATCAGAGCACAGTATTCACACCACGTGACACAAGCTGAGTGCTGACCAATGTCAGTACTTCAGTACATAATTTCAAACGTAAATATCTTATAATAAACTGAGAAGTAATGATGATTGTTTTTATTAGCACATTTTTTATTAAAGTCAACGGCATTACCATCAACTAGGGGAAAAGTAGGATAACTAAAAAAGAACAAGAAATTTAAAAATTGTGACTTAAAAACTGGATCGTTTAAAATTTACAAAGAAAAAAGCTTTGAATCTAAATTAACCGATTAAAAGTATTAATTTTATATTAAATATAAGACACACGTAGATAAATACCACGTGAGGACAATTAACTATAACAAATAATGAATAGTCACAGTATATATTACTTTTACTTTTTAACACGAGCACTCAATACATAAGGTTGTAAATGTAAGCCTGCTTTGCAAAGTGTGTAATAATACCATCGTTGTTAAATACGTCAAAAATCTGCTCAAAATACGGCGTATTCAATGTTCGAGAGAAATACGTAAGAATACGTGAAGTTTCCAATCAATAAGCCCGAAAAAAATTGAACTTAGACCCTGTTAAATTTTGTCCGGAATACGTTTAAAATTTGTCCGAAATACGCGCGCAGATCAAATATTGTAAAATATTTATTGTAAAAAATTCTTACTCCACAGTGGAAATCGAAATACGCGAATTTTCGACGACAAATACGTTTGCGTACGCATACGTTTGCTTGAAACGCTACGTATTTAACAGCATTGTATAATACTAAACAAGAAAAAGTTAGCAACTCAGTGCTCCCTAGTCATGTACACACTTATAGTCATTAAGCCGCGCACTGATCTTGATACGCAGTTTTAATAATCCGTAACCATGGTAACACCACCTTAGTTCTCAACTTGACAATTTGCTTAATTTAAACTAAAGAAGCTACTTGAATAGCAACTGTTTAAAAAGTAAGTAGGTTTCACATCACCAGTCACCATGGAAACTAAACCTTTTGTTTTTTATTTTTCTTAACGAGCGGCTGAATATTCTCCTTCTCAGACAGAACAGGTTTTGTGGAGGAATGTTGAGTGTGTCGTGTAACAGCTGATACTCCGTCAACAAACTTCGTCCTGATATGATGAGGGTCTTATTATAACCAATCAGAGCACAGTATTCACACCACGTGACACAAAGTAACCAATCAGAGCACAGTACTCACACCACGTGACACAAACTAACCAATCAGAGCACAGTATTCACACCACGTGACACAAACTAACCAATCAGAGCACAGTATTCACACCACGTGACACAAACGAACCAATCAGAGCACAGTATTCACACCACGTGACACAAACCAACCAATCAGAGCACAGTATTCACACCACGTGACACAAAGTAACCAATCAGAGCACAGTACTCACACCACGTGACACAAACTAACCAATCAGAGCACAGTACTCACATCATGTGACACAAAGTAACCAATCAGAGCACAGTACTCACACCACGTGACACAAACTAACCAATCAGAGCACAGTACTCACACCACGTGACACAAAGTAACCAATCAGAGCACAGTATTCACACCACGTGACACAAAGTAACCAATCAGGCACAGTATTCACACCACGTGACACAAAGTAACCAATCAGAGCCCAGTACTCACATCATGTGACACAAAGTAACCAATCAGAGCACAGTACTCACACCACGTGACACAAAGTAACCAATCAGAGCACAGTACTCACACCACGTGACAAAAATTAACCAATCAGAACACAGTAATTACACCACGTGACGCAAACTAACCAACCAGAGCACAGTACTCACACCACGTGACACAAACTAACCAATCAGAGCACAGTATTCACACCACGTGGCACAAACTAACCAACCAGAGCACAGTACTCACACCACGTGACACAAACTAACCAATCAGAGCACAGTATTCACACCACGTGGCACAAACTAACCAATCAGAGCACAGTACTCACACCACGTGACACAAAGTAACCAATCAGAGCACAGTACTCACACCACGTGACACAAACTAACCAATCAGAGCCCAGTATTCACACCACGTGACACAAAGTAACCAATCAGAGCACAGTATTCACACCACGTGACACAAAGTAACCAATCAGAGCACAGTACTCACATCACGTGACACAAAGTAACCAATCAGAGCACAGTACTCACACCACGTGACACAAAGTAACCAATCAGAGCACAGTATTCACATCACGTGACACAAAGTAACCAATCAGAGCACAGTACTCACACCACGTGACACAAACCAACCAATCACAATGTAAATATCCAATCTACCTGAAGAGAACATTAGCATTCTGGAACATGCCATCTTTGAGGGAGACCACGATGAATTGAGAATGTTTGAAGTGAGCCCTCAACATCTGTCCGATGTTCTGAGTGTGGGACAAGTCTAGCGCTGCGTCCACCTGGGGAGAAACACGTGTCAGTATTCCATAACAGAGGAGTATAATTAGTATAATTAGTATAATTAGTATAATAAGTATAATTAATATAATTAGTATAATAAGTATAATTACCTCGTCCAGAATGTATAGAGGAGCGGGTTTGAAGAGAAGAAGAGATAAGATAAGAGAGAGAGCCACTAAAGATCTCTGTCCACCGCTCAGTTCGGTTAGTGACTCTTTCCATACCTCACCGAACCCAACCTGCAATTATAAACTATTAAAGTAAGGTAGTATAGGTTTACAAAGTAACCTGCAATTATAAACTATTAAAGTAAGGTAGTATAGGTTTACAAAGTAAGATATGTTTACTTAGCAACAATAATAACCTATATAAAGATATAAACATTAGCACTTACCTTGACTTCTAGACCATCAGTAACAGGTCTCCCCTCCAAAGATATAAACATTAGCACTTACCTTGACTTCTAAACCATCAGTAACAGGTCTCCCCTCCAAAGATATAAACATTAGCACTTACCTTGACTTCTAAACCATCAGTAACAGGACTCCCCTCCAAAGATATAAACATTAGCGCTTACCTTGACTTCTAAACCATCAGTAACAGGTCTCCCCTCCAAAGATATAAACATTAGCACTTACCTTGACTTCCAAACCATCAGTAACAGGTCCCCCCTCCAAAGATATAAACATTAGCACTTACCTTGACTTCTAAACCATCAGTAACAGGTCTCCCCTCCAAAGATATAAACATTAGCACTTACCTTGACTTCTAAACCATCAGTAACAGGTCTCCCCTCCAAAGATATAAACATTAGCACTTACCTTGACTTCTAAACCATCAGTAACAGGTCTCCCCTCCAAAGATATAAACATTAGCACTTACCTTGACTTCTAAACCATCAGTAACAGGTCCCCCTCCAAAGATATAAACATTAGCACTTACCTTGACTTTAAAACATTAGCACTTACCTTGACTTCTAAACCATCAGTAACAGGTCCCCCCTCCAAAGATATAAACATTAGCACTTACCTTGACTTCTAAACCATCAGTAACAGGTCTCCCCTCCAAAGATATAAACATTAGCACTTACCTTGACTTCTAAACCATCAGTAACAGGTCTCCCCTCCAAAGATATAAACATTAGCACTTACCTTGACTTCTAAACCATCAGTAACAGGTCTCCCCTCCAAAGATATAAACATTAGCACTTACCTTGACTTCTAAACCATCAGTAACAGGTCTCCCCTCCAAAGATATAAACATTAGCACTTACCTTGACTTCTAAACCATCAGTAACAGGTCTCCCCTCCAAAGATATAAACATTAGCACTTACCTTGACTTCTAAACCATCAGTAACAGGTCTCCCCTCCAAAGATATAAACATTAGCACTTACCTTGACTTCTAAACCATCAGTAACAGGTCTCCCCTCCAAAGATATAAACATTAGCACTTACCTTGACTTCTAAACCATCAGTAACAGGTCTCCCCTCCAAAGATATAAACATTAGCATTACCTTTACTTTCTATACCTTCAGTACAGGTCTCCCCTCCAATGGATATACTTTAGCTATCTTTCCTTGATACTTTCTATAACCATCAGTACAGGTCTCCCCTCCAAAGTATAAAAATTAGCACTTACCTTGACTTCTAAAAAATCGTAAAAGGTCCCCCCTCCAAGATATAAAACATTAGCATTTTCCCTTTCTTCTAAACCCTCAGTAACAGGCTCCCTCCCAAAAAATAAAAATTAGCACTTACCTTGACTTCTAACCATCCGAAAGGTCTCCCCCCAAGATAAAACTTGCACTTTCCCTTGACTTCTAAACCATCGTGGTTCCCCCCAAAAATTTAACATTCCCCTTACCTTGCTTCTAAACCTCGTAACAGGTTTTTCCCTCCAAAGTATAAACATTTGACTTACCTTACTTAACCATCAGTAAAAACAGGTCTCCCCCCCAAAAATTTAAAATTACACTTACCTTTATTCTAAAACCTAGTAAAAAGGTCTTTCCCCCCCCAAAAGTTAAACATTAGCACTTACCCCTTTACTTTCTAAACCCTCAGTTAAAAGGTCTCCCCTCCCAAAAAAAAAACTTAGCACTTACCTTGCTTTAAACCTCGTAAAGGTCTCCTCCAAAAAATTATAAAAAATTAGCACTTACCTTGCTTCTAAACCATCAGTAAAAGGTCTCCCTCCAAAGATATAAAAAAATTGCACTTACCCTTTATTTTAAACCTCGAAGGTCCCCTCCAAAAATATAAACAGCACTTACCTTTACTTCTAAAAAAAAATCGTAACAGGTCTCCCCCCCAAAGATATAAATTAGCCTTTTCCCTTTACTTCTAAACCTTCCGTAACGGTTTTCCCCCCCAAAAATAAACATTAGCATTACCTTGACTTCTAAACCCCGTAACGGTCTCCCTCCCCAAAATTTAAAAAATTACACTTACCTTTACTTCAACCCCTCAGTAACGGGTTCCCTCCAAAAAATATAAACATTACACTTTTTCCTTGATTCTAAACCTCGTAACAGGTCTTCCCCAAAAAAATAAACATTTGCACTTCCCTTTATTTTAAACCTAGAAAAAAACTCCCCCCAAAAATTAAAATTTGCCTTCCGTTTTTAAACCTCGTAAAAGGGCCCCCCCTAAAAATAAATTGCCTTACCCTTTCTTTAAACCTCGTAAAGGCCCCCCCCTATAAACTTAGCACTTCCGTTCTAAACCCCGGGAACAGGTCCCCCTCCAAGATATAAACATTTTGCACTTACCTTGACTTCTAAAAAATCAGTAACAGGTTTTTCCCCCCCCAAAATAAAAAACTTACCTGACTTCTAACCCTCTAACAGGTCTCCCCTCCAAAGATATAAACATTAGCACTTACCTTGACTTCCCAAAAAAGGGCCCCCCCCAAAAAAAAAACATTCCTTACTTTCCCCAAACAGGCCCCCAAAAAAAAAAAATTCCTTACTTAAACCTAAAAGGGCCCCCTTTCCAAAAAAAAATTACCCTTGACTTCAAAACCCTCAAAAAAGGCCCCCCAAAGATATAAAAATTAGCACTTTTTTTTCCCCCAAACCCCAATAAAGGTCTCCCCTCCAAAAAAAACATTGCACTTACCGTTCTAAACCATGTAAAGGTCCCCCCTCCCAAAAATATAAACTTTTGCACTACCTTATTTCCTCTAAAAAGGTCCCCCTCCAAAGATATAACATTGCCTTACCTTTACTTTTAAACCATCGTAACAGGTTCCCTCCCAAATATAAAAATTAGCCTTACCTTGTTTAAACCCAAATAACAGGGTTTCCCCCCCAAAATATAAACTTTTGGGTTCCCCGCTTCTAAAACCCTCGTAAAAGGTTCCCCCCCCCAAAGATATAAAACAATAGACTTACCTTGACTTCTAACCCCAGTAACAGGGTTCCCCCCAAAGATATAAACATTAGCCTTTCCTTTACTTCAACCCTCAGGTTTCCCCCCAAAATAAAACATTGCATTTCCTTTATTCAAAAAATCAGAAAACCCCCCCCAAAAAAAAATTTTTCCCTTCTTTAAACCTCGTAAAGGGCCCCCCTCCCCAAAATTTTAAAATTTTACTTACCTTGACTTCTAAAACCTCAAACTTCCCCCCAAAAAAAAAACATTTGCCTTACCTTGACTCTCTCGAAAAATCTTCCCCTTAAAAAAAGACTTCCTAAATTTAAAAACTAAAATTTCCCCCCCCCCAAGTATAAAATAGCCCCCCATTTAAAACCCCTTTGGGCCCCCTGATATAAACTTGCATTCCCCAAATTAAACATCATTAAGGGCTTTTTCCCGTTAAAATTCCCTCCTTGAAAACCCTCTTAACCGGTTTCCCCCCAAAATTAAATTCCTTCCTTATTTAAAATATAACATTCCCCCCCCAAAATATTAAAAAAGCCCCCCCGATTTAAAAAACAAAACCCCCCCCCCAAAAAAAAAAAAATTTCCTTCCGTTTTTTAAACCCTAGTAAACTCCCCTAAAATTAAACATTAGCCTCCCCCACTTTAAAAACCTCCCTAACATAAAAAGTAAAAATTAACTTACCTTCTTCCCCCCCAGTAAGGTTCCCCCCCAAAAAAAACATTTTGCCTTACCTTACTTTAAACCATCGTCATTCCCCCCAAAAAAACCCCCCTTACCCTTAACCCCTTTAAAAATCTAAAGGGCCCCCCCCCCCCCAAAAAAAAAAAACTTACCCTTCCAAAAATCAAAATTTTCCCCTCCTTTAAAAAAAAAACATTACCCTTATTCTAAAACCCCAAAAATCCCCCCAAGTTTTAAAAATTAGCACTTCCCTTTACTTTAAACATCAGTAACGGGCCCCCCCCAAAAATAAAACATTAAAAACCCTTCCTTAAACCTTTTAAAACCCCCCCCCAAAATAAAAATTTCCCCTTCCAAAATTTAAACCCTGTCGGGCTCCCCCCAAAATATAACCCTTCCTTAAAATTTTAAAAAAAGTAAAAGGATCCCCTCAAAAAAACAAAACCCCCCCTTACTTTTAAACCCTAACCCTCTCCCCCCAAAATTAAAAAATTACCTTCTTGATTTAAAAAATGTAAAATTTTCCCCCCCCAAAATTAAAATTACCCTCCCGATTTAAACCTCATAAAAGTTCCCCCCCCCCGTAAAACTTGGGGCTTCCTTTTTCCCCCAAAATTTAAAAATAAAAATTAGCACTTACCTTCCTAACCCTCAGCTCCCCCCCAAAATATAAAATTGCACTTACCCTTTACTTCTAAACCTCAGTAAAAAAAAAAAAAAAAAAAAAAAAAAAAAAAAAAAAAAAAAAAAAAAAAAAAAAAAAAAAAAAAAAAAAAAAAAAAAAAAAAAAAAAAAAAAAAAAAAAAAAAAAAAAAAAAAAAAAAAAAAAAAAAAAAAAAAAAAAAAAAAAAAAAAAAAAAAAAAAAAAAAAAAAAAAAAAAAAAAAAAAAAAAAAAAAAAAAAAAAAAAAAAAAAAAAAAAAAAAAAAAAAAAAAAAAAAAAAAAAAAAAAAAAAAAAAAAAAAAAAAAAAAAAAAAAAAAAAAAAAAAAAAAAAAAAAAAAAAAAAAAAAAAAAAAAAAAAAAAAAAAAAAAAAAAAAAAAAAAAAAAAAAAAAAAAAAAAAAAAAAAAAAAAAAAAAAAAAAAAAAAAAAAAAAAAAAAAAAAAAAAAAAAAAAAAAAAAAAAAAAAAAAAAAAAAAAAAAAAAAAAAAAAAAAAAAAAAAAAAAAAAAAAAAAAAAAAAAAAAAAAAAAAAAAAAAAAAAAAAAAAAAAAAAAAAAAAAAAAAAAAAAAAAAAAAAAAAAAAAAAAAAAAAAAAAAAAAAAAAAAAAAAAAAAAAAAAAAAAAAAAAAAAAAAAAAAAAAAAAAAAAAAAAAAAAAAAAAAAAAAAAAAAAAAAAAAAAAAAAAAAAAAAAAAAAAAAAAAAAAAAAAAAAAAAAAAAAAAAAAAAAAAAAAAAAAAAAAAAAAAAAAAAAAAAAAAAAAAAAAAAAAAAAAAAAAAAAAAAAAAAAAAAAAAAAAAAAAAAAAAAAAAAAAAAAAAAAAAAAAAAAAAAAAAAAAAAAAAAAAAAAAAAAAAAAAAAAAAAAAAAAAAAAAAAAAAAAAAAAAAAAAAAAAAAAAAAAAAAAAAAAAAAAAAAAAAAAAAAAAAAAAAAAAAAAAAAAAAAAAAAAAAAAAAAAAAAAAAAAAAAAAAAAAAAAAAAAAAAAAAAAAAAAAAAAAAAAAAAAAAAAAAAAAAAAAAAAAAAAAAAAAAAAAAAAAAAAAAAAAAAAAAAAAAAAAAAAAAAAAAAAAAAAAAAAAAAAAAAAAAAAAAAAAAAAAAAAAAAAAAAAAAAAAAAAAAAAAAAAAAAAAAAAAAAAAAAAAAAAAAAAAAAAAAAAAAAAAAAAAAAAAAAAAAAAAAAAAAAAAAAAAAAAAAAAAAAAAAAAAAAAAAAAAAAAAAAAAAAAAAAAAAAAAAAAAAAAAAAAAAAAAAAAAAAAAAAAAAAAAAAAAAAAAAAAAAAAAAAAAAAAAAAAAAAAAAAAAAAAAAAAAAAAAAAAAAAAAAAAAAAAAAAAAAAAAAAAAAAAAAAAAAAAAAAAAAAAAAAAAAAAAAAAAAAAAAAAAAAAAAAAAAAAAAAAAAAAAAAAAAAAAAAAAAAAAAAAAAAAAAAAAAAAAAAAAAAAAAAAAAAAAAAAAAAAAAAAAAAAAAAAAAAAAAAAAAAAAAAAAAAAAAAAAAAAAAAAAAAAAAAAAAAAAAAAAAAAAAAAAAAAAAAAAAAAAAAAAAAAAAAAAAAAAAAAAAAAAAAAAAAAAAAAAAAAAAAAAAAAAAAAGGTCTCCCCTCCAAAGATATAAACATTAGCACTTACCTTGACTTCTAAACCATCAGTAACAGGTCTCCCCTCCAAAGATATAAACATTAGCACTTACCTTGACTTCTAAACCATCAGTAACAGGTCTCCCCTCCAAAGATATAAACATTAGCACTTACCTTGACTTCTAAACCATCAGTAACAGGTCTCCCCTCCAAAGATATAAACATTAGCACTTACTTGACTTCTAAACCATCAGTAACAGGTCTCCCCTCCAAAGCTATAAACATTAGCACTTACCTTGACTTCTAAACCATCAGTAACAGGTCTCCCCTCCAAAGATATAAACATTAGCACTTACCTTGACTTCTAAACCATCAGTAACAGGTCTCCCCTCCAAAGATATAAACATTAGCACTTACCTTGACTTCTAAACCATCAGTAACAGGTCTCCCCTCCAAAGATATAAACATTAGCACTTACCTTGACTTCTAAACCATCAGTAACAGTCTCCCCTCCAAAGATATAAACATTAGCACTTACCTTGACTTCTAAACCATCAGTAACAGGTCTCCCCTCCAAAGAAATAATCATTAGCACTTACCTTGACTTCTAAACATCCCCGTAACAGGTCTCCCCTCCAAAGATATAAACATTAGCACTTACCTTGACTTCTAACCATCAGTAACAGGTCCCCTCAAAGATATAAACATAGCACTTTACCTTGACTTCTAAACCATCAGTAACAGGTCCCCCCAAAGATATAAACTTAGCACTTACCTTGACTTCTTAAAACCCTCAGTACAGGTCTCCCCCCCAAAAATATAAACATTAGCACTTACCTTGACTTCTAAACCATAAGTAAAGGTCTCCCATCCAAAGATATAAACATTTGCACTTACCTTGACTTCTTTAAAAACCCTCAGTAACAGGTCTCCCCTCCAAAGATATAAACATTAGCACTTACCTTGACTTCTAAACCATCAGTAACAGGTCTCCCCTCCCAAAGATATAAACATTGCACTTACCTTGACTTCTAAACCCTCAGTAACAGGTCTCCCCTCCAAGATATAAACATTAGCACTTACCTTGACTTCTAAACCATCAGTAACAGGTCTCCCCTCCAAAGATATAAACATTAGCACTTACCTTGACTTCTAAACCATCAGTAAAGGTCTCCCCCTCCAAAGATATAAACATTAGCACTTACCTTGACTTCTAAACCATCAGTAACAGGTCTCCCCTCCAAAGATATAAACATTAGCACTTACTTGACTTCTAAAACATCAGTAACAGGTCTCCCCTCCAAAGATATAAACATTAGCACTTACCTTGACTTCTAAACCATCAGTAACAGGTCTCCCCTCCAAAGATATAAACATTAGCACTTACCTTGACTTCTAACCCATCAGTAACAGGTCTCCCCTCCAAAGATATAAACATTAGCACTTACCTTGACTTCTAAACCTCAGTAACAGGTCTCCCCTCCAAAGATATAAACATTAGCACTTACCTTGACTTCTAAACCATCAGTAACAGGTCTCCCCTCCAAAGATATAAACATTAGCACTTACCTTGACTTCTAAACCATCAGTAACAGGTCTCCCCTCCAAAGATATAAACATTAGCACTTACCTTGACTTCTAAACCATCAGTAACAGGTCTCCCCTCCAAAGATATAAACATTAGCACTTACCTTGACTTCTAAACCATCAGTAACAGGTCTCCCCTCCAAAGATATAAACATTAGCACTTACCTTGACTTCTAAACCATCAGTAACAGGTCTCCCCTCCAAAGATATAAACATTAGCACTTACCTTGACTTCTAAACCATCAGTAACAGGTCTCCCCTCCAAAGATATAAACATTAGCACTTACCTTGACTTCTAAACCATCAGTAACAGGTCTCCCCTTAAAGATATAAACATTAGCACTTACCTTGACTTCTAAACCATCAGTAACAGGTCTCCCCTCCAAAGATATAAACATTAGCACTTACCTTGACTTCTAAACCATCAGTAACAGGTCTCCCCTCCAAAGATATAAACATTAGCACTTACCTTGACTTCTAAACCATCAGTAACAGGTCTCCCCTCCAAAGATATAAACATTAGCACTTACCTTGACTTCTAAACCATCAGTAACAGGTCTCCCCTCCAAAGATATAAACATTAGCACTTACCTTGACTTCTAAACCATCAGTAACAGGTCTCCCCTCCAAAGATATAAACATTAGCACTTACCTTGACTTCTAAACCATCAGTAACAGGTCTCCCCTCCAAAGATATAAACATTAGCACTTACCTTGACTTCTAAACCATCAGTAACAGGTCTCCCCTCCAAAGATATAAACATTAGCACTTACCTTGACTTCTAAACCATCAGTAACAGGTCTCCCCTCCAAAGATATAAACATTAGCACTTACCTTGACTTCTAAACCATCAGTAACAGGTCTCCCCTCCAAAGATATAAACATTAGCACTTACCTTGACTTCTAAACCATCAGTAACAGGTCTCCCCTCCAAAGATATAAACATTAGCACTTACCTTGACTTCTAAACCATCAGTAACAGGTCTCCCCTCCAAAGATATAAACATTAGCACTTACCTTGACTTCTAAACCATCAGTAACAGGTCTCCCCTCCAAAGATATAAACATTAGCACTTACCTTGACTTCTAAACCATCAGTAAACAGGTCTCCCCTCCAAGATATAAACATTAGCACTTACCTTGACTTCTAAACCATCAGTAACAGGTCTCCCCTCCAAAGCTATAAACATTAGCACTTACCTTGACTTCTAAACCATCAGTAGCAGGTCTCCCCTCCAAAGATATAAAAGTATAAACATTAGCACTTACCTTGACTTCTAAACCATCAGTAACAGGTCTCCCCTCCAAAGATATAAACATTAGCACTTACCTTGACTTCTAAACCATCAGTAACAGGTCTCCCCTCCAAAGATATAAACATTAGCACTTACCTTGACTTCTAAACCATCAGTAACAGGTCTCCCCTCCAAAGATATAAACATTAGCACTTACCTTGACTTTCTAAACCATCAGTAACAGGTCTCCCCTCCAAAGATATAAACATTAGCACTTACCTTGACTTCTAAACCATCAGTAACAGGTCTCCCCTCCAAAGATATAAACATTAGCACTTACCTTGACTTCTAAACCATCAGTAACAGGTCTCCCCTCCAAAGATATAAACATTAGCACTTACCTTGACTTCTAAACCATCAGTAACAGGTCTCCCCTCCAAAGATATAAACATTAGCACTTACCTTGACTTCTAAACCATCAGTAACAGGTCTCCCCTCCAAAGATATAAACATTAGCACTTACCTTGACTTCTAAACCATCAGTAACAGGTCTCCCCTCCAAAGATATAAACATTAGCACTTACCTTGACTTCTAAACCATCAGTAACAGGTCTCCCCTCCAAAGATATAAACATTAGCACTTACCTTGACTTCTAAACCATCAGTAACAGGTCTCCCCTCCAAAGATATAAACATTAGCACTTACCTTGACTTCTAAACCATCAGTAACAGGTCTCCCCTCCAAAGATATAAACATTAGCACTTACCTTGACTTCTAAACCATCAGTAACAGGTCTCCCCTCCAAAGATATAAACATTAGCACTTACCTTGACTTCTAAACCATCAGTAACAGGTCTCCCCTCCAAAGATATAAACATTAGCACTTACCTTGACTTCTAAACCATCAGTAACAGGTCTCCCCTCCAAAGATATAAACATTAGCACTTACCTTGACTTCTAAACCATCAGTAACAGGTCTCCCTCCAAAGATATAAACATTAGCACTTACCTTGACTTCTAAACCATCAGTAACAGGTCTCCCCTCCAAAGATATAAACATTAGCACTTACCTTGACTTCTAAACCATCAGTAACAGGTCTCCCCTCCAAAGATATAAACATTAGCACTTACCTTGACTTCTAAACCATCAGTAACAGGTCTCCCCTCCAAAGATATAAACATTAGCACTTACCTTGACTTCTAAACCATCAGTAACAGGTCTCCCCTCCAAAGATATAAACATTAGCACTTACCTTGACTTCTAAACCATCAGTAACAGGTCTCCCCTCCAAAGATATAAACATTAGCACTTACCTTGACTTCTAAACCATCAGTAACAGGTCTCCCTCCAAAGATATAAACATTAGCACTTACCTTGACTTCTAAACCATCAGTAACAGGTCTCCCCTCCAAAGATATAAACATTAGCACTTACCTTGACTTCTAAACCATCAGTAACAGGTCTCCCCTCCAAAGATATAAACATTAGCACTTACCTTGACTTCTAAACCATCAGTAACAGGTCTCCCCTCCAAAGATATAAACATTAGCACTTACCTTGACTTCTAAACCATCAGTAACAGGTCTCCCCTCCAAAGATATAAACATTAGCACTTACCTTGACTTCTAAACCATCAGTAACAGGTCTCCCCTCCAAAGATATAAACATTAGCACTTACCTTGACTTCTAAACCATCAGTAACAGGTCTCCCCTCCAAAGATATAAACATTAGCACTTACCTTGACTTCTAAACCATCAGTAACAGGTCTCCCCTCCAAAGATATAAACATTAGCACTTACCTTGACTTCTAAACCATCAGTAACAGGTCTCCCCTCCAAAGATATAAACATTAGCACTTACCTTGACTTCTAAACCATCAGTAACAGGTCTCCCCTCCAAAGATATAAACATTAGCACTTACCTTGACTTCTAAACCATCAGTAACAGGTCTCCCCTCCAAAGATATAAACATTAGCACTTACCTTGACTTCTAAACCATCAGTAACAGGTCTCCCCTCCAAAGATATAAACATTAGCACTTACCTTGACTTCTAAACCATCAGTAACAGGTCTCCCCTCCAAAGATATAAACATTAGCACTTACCTTGACTTCTAAACCATCAGTAACAGGTCTCCCCTCCAAAGATATAAACATTAGCACTTACCTTGACTTCTAAACCATCAGTAACAGGTCTCCCCTCCAAAGATATAAACATTAGCACTTACCTTGACTTCTAAACCATCAGTAACAGGTCTCCCCTCCAAAGATATAAACATTAGCACTTACCTTGACTTCTAAACCATCAGTAACAGGTCTCCCCTCCAAAGATATAAACATTAGCACTTACCTTGACTTCTAAACCATCAGTAACAGGTCTCCCCTCCAAAGATATAAACATTAGCACTTACCTTGACTTCTAAACCATCAGTAACAGGTCTCCCCTCCAAAGATATAAACATTAGCACTTACCTTGACTTCTAAACCCATCAGTAACAGGTCTCCCCTCCAAAGATATAAACATTAGCACTTACCCTTGACTTCTAAACCATCAGTAACAGGTCTCCCCCTCCAAAGATATAACATTAGCACTTACCCTTGACTTCTAAACCATCAGTAACAGGTCTCCCCTCCAAAGATATAAACATTAGCACTTACCTTGACTTCTAAACCATCAGTAAAGGACTCCCCTCCAAGATATAAACATTAGCACTTACCTTGACTTCTAAACCATCAGTAACAGGTCTCCCCTCCAAAGATATAAACATTAGCACTTACCTTGACTTCTAAACCATCAGTAACAGGTCTCCCCTCAAAGATATAAACATAGCACTTACCTTGACTTCTAAACCATCAGTAACAGGTCTCCCCTCCAAAGATATAAACATTAGCACATCCCTTGATTCTAACCAATCAGTAACAGGTCTCCCCTCCAAAGATATAAACATTAGCACTTACCTTGACTTCTAAACATCAGTAACAGGTCTCCCCTTCCAAAGATATAAACATAGCACTTACCTTGACTTCTAAACCATCAGTAACAGGTCTCCCCTCCAAAGATATAAACATTCGCACTTCCTTGACTTCTAAACCATCAGTAACAGGTCTCCCCCTCCAAAGATATAAACATTAGCACTTACCTTGACTTCTAAACCATCAGTAACAGGTCTCCCCTCCAAAGATATAAACCTTAGCAACTTACCTTGACTTCTAAACCCATCAGTAAGAGGTCTCCCCTCCAAAGATATAAACATTAGCACTTACCTTGACTTCTAACCATCAGATAACAGGTCTCCCCTCCAAAGATATAAACATTAGCACTTACTTGACTTCTAAACCATCAGTAGCAGGTCTCCCCTCCAAAGATATAAAAGTATAAACATTAGCACTTACCTTGACTTCTAAACCATCGGTAACAGGTCTCCCCTCCAAAGATATAAACATTAGCACTTACCTTGACTTCTAAACCATCAGTAACAGGTCTCCCCTCCAAAGATATAAACATTAGCACTTACTTGACTTCTAAACCATCAGTAACAGGTCTCCCCTCCAAAGATATAAACATTAGCACTTACCTTGACTTCTAAACCATCAGTAACAGGTCTCCCCTCCAAAGATATAAACATTAGCACTTACCTTGACTTCTAAACCATCAGTAACAGGTCTCCCCTCCAAAGATATAAACATTAGCACTTACCTTGACTTCTAAACCATCAGTAACAGGTCTCCCCTCCAAAGATATAAACATTAGCACTTACCTTGACTTCTAAACCATCAGTAACAGGTCTCCCCTCCAAAGATATAAACATTAGCACTTACCTTGACTTCTAAACCATCAGTAACAGGTCTCCCCTCCAAAGATATAAACATTAGCACTTACCTTGACTTCTAAACCATCAGTAACAGGTCTCCCCTCCAAAGATATAAACATTAGCACTTACCTTGACTTCTAAACCATCAGTAACAGGTCCTCCCCTCCAAAGATATAAACATTAGCACTTACCTTGACTTCTAAACCATCAGTAACAGGTCTCCCCTCCAAAGATATAAACATTAGCACTTACCTTGACTTCTAAACCATCAGTAACAGGTCCTCCCCTCCAAAGATATAACATTAGCACTTACCTTGACTTCTAAACCATCAGTAACAGGTCTCCCCTCCAAAGATATAAACATTAGCACTTACCTTGACTTCTAACCATCAGTAACAGGTCTCCCCTCCAAAGATATAAACATTAGCACTTACCTTGACTTCTAAACCATCAGTAACAGGTCTCCCTCCAAAGATATAAACATTAGCACTTACCTTGACTTCTAAACCATCAGTAACAGGTCTCCCCCTCCAAAGATATAAACATTAGCACTTACCTTGACTTCTAAACCATCAGTAACAGGTCTCCCCTCCAAAGATATAAACATTAGCACTTACCTTGACTTCTAAACCATCAGTAACAGGTCTCCCCTCCAAAGATATAACATTAGCACTTACCTTGACTTCTAAACCATCAGTAACAGGTCTCCCCTCCAAAGATATAAACATTAGCACTTACCTTGACTTCTAAAACCATCAGTAACAGGTCTCCCTCCAAAGATATAAACATTAGCACTTACCTTGACTTCTAACCCATCAGTAACAGGTCTCCCCTCCAAAGATATAAACATTAGCACTTACCTTGACTTCTAAACCATCAGTAACAGGTCTCCCCTCCAAAGATATAAACATTAGCACTTACCTTGACTTCTAAACCATCAGTAACAGGTCTCCCCTCCAAAGATATAAACATTAGCACTTACCTTGACTTCTAAACCATCAGTAACAGGTCTCCCCTCCAAAGATATAAACATTAGCACTTACCTTGACTTCTAAACCATTAGTAACAGGTCTCCCTCCAAAGATATAAACATTAGCACTTACCTTGACTTCTAAACCATCAGTAACAGGTCTCCCCTCCAAAGATATAAACATTAGCACTTACCTTGACTTCTAAACCATCAGTAACAGGTCTCCCCTCCAAAGATATAAACATTAGCACTTACCTTGACTTCTAAACCATCAGTAACAGGTCTCCCCTCCAAAGATATAAACATTAGCACTTACCTTGACTTCTAAACCATCAGTAACAGGTCTCCCCTCCAAAGATATAAACATTAGCACTTACCTTGACTTCTAAACCATCAGTAACAGGTCTCCCCTCCAAAGATATAAACATTAGCACTTACCTTGACTTCTAAACCATCAGTAACAGGTCTCCCCTCCAAAGATATAAACATTAGCACTTACCTTGACTTCTAAACCATCAGTAACAGGTCTCCCCTCCAAAGATATAAACATTAGCACTTACCTTGACTTCTAAACCATCAGTAACAGGTCTCCCCTCCAAAGATATAAACATTAGCACTTACCTTGACTTCTAAACCATCAGTAACAGGTCTCCCCTCCAAAGATATAAACATTAGCACTTACCTTGACTTCTAAACCATCAGTAACAGGTCTCCCCTCCAAAGATATAAACATTAGCACTTACCCTTGACTTCTAAACCATCAGTAACAGGTCTCCCCTCCAAAGATATAAACATTAGCACTTACCTTGACTTCTAAACCATCAGTAACAGGTCTCCCCTCCAAAGATATAAACATTAGCACTTACCTTGACTTCTAAACCATCAGTAACAGGTCTCCCCTCCCAAAGATATAAACATTAGCACTTACCTTGACTTCTAAACCATCAGTAACAGGTCTCCCCTCCAAAGATATAAACATTAGCACTTACCTTGACTTCTAAACCATCAGTAACAGGTCTCCCCTCCAAAGATATAAACATTAGCACTTACCTTGACTTCTAAACCATCAGTAACAGGTCTCCCCTCCAACGATATAAACATTAGCACTTACCTTGACTTCTAAACATCAGTAACAGGTCTCCCCTCCAAAGATATAAACATTAGCACTTACCTTGACTTCCTAAACCATCAGTAACAGGTCTCCCCTCCAAAGATATAACATTAGCACTTACCTTGACTTCTAAACCATCAGTAACAGGTCTCCCCTCCAAAGATATAAACATTAGCACTTACCTTGACTTCTAAACCATCAGTAACAGGTCTCCCCTCCAAAGATATAAACATTAGCACTTACCTTGACTTCTAAACCATCAGTAACAGGTCTCCCCTCCAAAGATATAACATTAGCACTTACCTTGACTTCTAAACCATCAGTAACAGGTCTCCCCTCCAAAGATATAAACATTAGCACTTACCTTGACTTCTAAACCATCAGTAACAGGTCTCCCCTCCAAAGATATAAACATTAGCACTACCTTGACTTCTAAACCATCAGTAACAGGTCTCCCCTCCAAAGATATAAACATTAGCACATACCTTGACTTCTAAACCATCAGTAACAGGTCCCCCTCCAAAGATATAACATTAGCACTTACCTTGACTTCTAACCATCAGTAACAGGTCTCCCCTCCAAAGATATAAACATTAGCCCTTACCTTGACTTCTAAACATCAGTAACAGGTCTCCCCTCCAAAGATATAAACATTAGCACTTACCTTGACTCTAAACCATCAGTAACAGGTCTCCCCCTCCAAAGATATAAACATTAGCACTTACCTTGACTTCTAAACCATCAGTAACAGGTCTCCCCTCAAAGATATAAACATTAGCACTTACCTTGACTTCTAAACCATCAGTAACAGGTCTCCCCTCCAAAGATATAAACATTAGCACTTACCTTGACTTCTAAACCATCAGTAACAGGTCCCCCTCCAAAGATATAAACATTAGCACTTACCTTGACTTCTAAACCATCAGTAACAGGTCTCCCCTCCAAAGATATAAACATTAGCACTTACCTTGACTTCTAAACCATCAGTAACAGGTCTCCCCTCCAAAGATATAAACATTAGCACTTACTTGACTTCTAAACCATCAGTAACCAGGTCTCCCCCTCCAAAGATATAAACATTAGCACTTACCTTACTTCTAAACCATCAGTAACAGGTCTCCCCTCCAAAGATATAAACATTAGCACTTACCTTGACTTCTAAACCATCAGTAACAGGTCCTCCCCTCCAAAGATATAAACATTAGCACTTATCTTGACTTCTAAACACGTAACAGGTCCCCCCAAGATTAAACATTAGCATTACCTTTACTTTTAAACCCTCAGTAACGGTCCCCCCCAAAAATTAAACTTAGCATTCCTTGACTTTTAACCCCATAAGGTCCCCCCAAAGTTAAACATTACATTACTTTTCTTCTAAACCCTTAAAGGTCCCCCTCCCAAAATAAAAACATTAGCACTTACCTGCTTTTAACACAGTAAAAGGCTCCCCCCAAATATAAAACATTAGACTTCCTTGATTCAAAACATCTAAAGGTTCCCTCCAAAAATTAACATTCATTACCTTGATTTTTAACCTCGAAAGGTCCCCCAAAGAAATAAACATGCACTTACCTTTTATTCTAAACCATCAGTAAAAGGTTCCCCCCCAAAGAAAAACATTAGCACTTTCCCTTTATTTAAAACAGAACAGGTCCCCCCCAAAGTTTAAAAAAATTAACTTTTTGACTTTAAACTCATAAAGTTTTCCCCCCCAAAGATATAACATTAGCACTTCCTTGACTTCTAAACCATCAGTACAGAGGTCTCCCCCCAAAGATTAAACATTTAAATTTCCTTGATTTAAAAATCGAAAGGTTCCCCCCAAAAATATAAACTTGCCTTCCTTGACTTCTAAAAAATCGTAAGGTCTCCCTCCAAAAATATAAAATTAATTACCGCTTTAAACCCTCATAACAGGGCTCCCTCCAAAAAATAAACATTACCTTACCTTGCTTCAAAAAAACCCGTAACGGCTCCCCCCCAAAGATTAAACAAGCACTTACCCTTTACTTCTAAAACCCTAGTAACAGGTCCCCCCTCCAAAGAAAAAAATTCACTTCCTTTATTCTAAAACCTCAGTAAAAGGCCCCTCAAAGAAAAACATTAGCATTACCTTTTACTTCAAACCTCAGTAACAGGTTCCCCCCAAAGTATAAAAATTGCACTTACCTTGACT